AACCCAGCCCCTTTCGCTCCCGCAGCCTCCGCCTCCCGCATCCTCAAACCACACCGCTGCTCCCGGGAGGTCGGGAGAGAATAACCTTCAAGGCTTCGCACTTTACCAAGTGGCCTGAGTGAGCGTCACGACCACCTGTGTGAGGTGGGGGGGCAGCGCCAAAGGATCCCCATTGCAGTGATGAAGAAACTGAGGCTCGGGGAGGCCCCGGGACTGGCCCAAGGTCACAGGGTGTCTAGGAACCAAACCCAAGTTGCTGAACTCCCACCCCTGGGGTCTCTTTTGTCAAAGCCTCCAGTACCCTTTACTGTAATCTAGGGGCTGGGGAAAAGCAAGAGATTAGGGGGTAAACTTGGGCCCTCCTTGGATGGTAATGGGGAGACTTGGGCTGGGAGAGGAAAGGGAGTACCTACAGCCCCACTCACATTCAGCTGGAAGGGCTGTTTCCAATTATCCTGGGGGAAGGGCGGGGGTTGCCTGCTTGTGTGTAAGAACCCTAGCTTTCAGCACCTCTGGGCAGAGGTGACATTCCTCTCCCCTTTCCAGCGGTTACAGGCCTTCAGTCCCTTCCCTTTGATTTTGGGTCCAAAATCAACCCCCTACTGACAGTCTCTTGAGATTCCTACTGACAGTAACCCTTCATAGCTCCCCTTCTCAGTGTTTGGCAAGGTGTGTGGAGGGGCGGGGGGAGGCGCTGCTGCTTGAAATAACATACTGCCCCCCTCAAAGGCAGGCCAGATCAATGGAGAAACAGCAGTAACAACTGCTGAACGAGACTGTCACCCTTGTCCTGCATCGAACGGGAACACAGAATGTGACGTCTGTGTCTTCGAGCACCTGTACTCTTCTCAGGTGTCCTTGACTCTGGCTACTCAGTCAGGGCCTCCTGGGGGAGTCCAGGGGCGGGGAGGGGGTGCTTCTGCTCCCCTTCTCCCAGAGCTGAGTAATGGTCCCTCTGCTGCTGGATGAGGGTAACTAGTGTTGAGCAAGGGAGAGCGGGTGTCTTGTCTGTCACCAGCTGCACAGTCTCACACAGTCACGCCCAGCAGTCTGACACAGTTCCTGCCACTCCCGCTCAGCCACGCTCACTGTGACCCCTGCCACCCCACCTTGGGAGTGAGATTTCAAACAGGTCCCCCCCACTCTTCAGTTTATCAAGTTGCCTAGCAACCAACCAGTCAATGGCATGAAGCCCCACCCCCACTACTTGACTTCACACCAAGCTCAGTAGTCCCATTGGCTCCTGCCTAGTACCACCTCTCAACCCTGGTTTTAGGAACAATATGCCAATCCCCATGGCTGCTGGACTAGGGAGCCCACTAATAACCCGCCCCCCCCCCACCCTGTCTCCATCATTTGCCTCCCCAAACAGACACAGAGATTCTGGTATCATATAAAACCTTTTTATATAAACTCACCCCCACCTCTTTTTGTCCCTCCCTGTTCCTTCTCACCCTGTTGAGCATCAGGGATACTGGTGTCTGGGCTCCCCCCACACCACCAGAGCTGAAGCTGACATTCAAGGTGGACGTGGCGCATGGAGAGCAGGGGAAGGTCCACCTCCTGCTCCCCCTCATCCCCACTCTCCGTGGGCTCTGGAAACACACGCTGACCGGAGGCGGTGGCCAGCAGAGGCAGGCTGGGGTGCAGGCTGGAGGGAGAGACAGGCAGAGTCTGTCAACCCCCTGAGAGAGGATGCTTGCTCCCTCTGCAATTCACCTCCCCCCCAACCCGAGCCCCAAGATCTGTGGTATGACCTCACTCCATTGGTGCAGTCCTTCTGAGGCAAAAAACTCAGCACAGGTTCCGGTTTCCTCTCATTCCCAGCCTCGCCCGTGTCCCACACAGAGACAGCCCCGCTCGTGCTGCCGCTCACTAGGAACTGCCCGGTCCTGGGGAGAGAGCAGAGGCTTGCTGGCATGGAGTCATCATCCCAGCGCAGGAACTCCTCACACCCAGGGGTTCGAATCTGGATTACAGGGGGCCCTGGAGTCCTGGGAAGGAAGGACCCACGGTCACTCACGGGTCCAGATCAAAGTAGATGCGCTGATTGGTGGTCACCTCACGATTCAGGGACCACAATGGATGACCAGGCTGCCGGAGATCCCAGCACAGAAGCTCAGCATCCTGAAGACATAGAACAGGGGCCTGGAGCCCACCACGCAGACATCTCTGCTTCCCTCAAGCTTTACAGGCACGCCTTTAGCTTGGGTTGATTTTTTTCTCACATCTATCCCCCAACATAGCAGCCCACATCCCCACTCCTGCCTACTGCCCTTTGGGGTCTCAGGACATGACTCCTACCTTGCGGGCTCCTGAGAAGAAGCGGTTGCCATCGGGGTGAAAGCAGAGGTGGGTGATGCCCCCTCGGTGCCCTCCCAGCAAGGCGAGAAGGGAGCCATCATCCCAGGCATACAGGCCCAGGGAACAGCCATAGGAACCACAGGCATAGAGGGGCTGGGCTGGGTTGAAGGCTATGCAGGAGATGATGCCGCTCTGGCCCTGCTTTTTTGCTAAAGAGGGAAGGAACAAAGTGGGGGAGCGAGCAAGGGCACCTGACATTAACCAGGCTAATCAGAGGTACACCTCTGTCTCCTGTCCCAGAGCCCATGTGCCAGGACTCAGTATCCCCCCTCTCCATCTGCCACAGGGGGGATGAGGACCCCAGATCCTTCGGTTCCCCCCAACCCCCCACAAAGGACCTAAATGCCTAAGACCTACTTCTTCCCTCTCAAATCTGTTTTTCCTGGAAGGAATGGAAAGGTGAAGGCTTGTAGTAAAATAGAACCAGCTTCACCTCCAATTTCCTAACGATACTAAGATTTTGGCTGCCGAAACCGGTTTGGCTCAGTGGATAGAGCATCGGCCTGAGGACTCAAGGGTCCCAGGTTCGATTCCGGTCAAGGGCATGTACCTGGGTTGCGGGCACATCCCCAGTAGGAGATGTGCAGGAGGCAGCTGATCGATGTTTCTAACTCTCTATCTCTCTCCCTTCCTCTCTGTAAAAAATCAATAAAATATATATTTTTTTTTAAAAAAGAGATTTTGGAGACCAAAAGGTACACAGCCAACAGGAACTGGGCTCAGAGAGAACAAGCCCTTTACCCACCGGTTTGACCAGGGCTGTACGGAGGAGGCTGTGGCCCCCCGCGCCCACCCCCCCCCCCACAACATGTGGTCCCCTGGCTCACACAAGGCCCCTCTGCACACGGCAGTGCCCTTTCCTTGCTTCCTCTCTTGGAAGCACAGATGCTTACCAAACGTGGCTCGGACCTCACAGTCACGGCCGGGCCGGGCTCGTGGAAAAGACACGCACAGTCCGGTTGAAGCCACAGAAGAGCTGGGAGCCGTCCGGGGAGAAGCAGAGTGAGTGGGCTGCCGTCAGCTCATCCTGGGAGGAGGAAAGGGCCGGAAACAGGCCTCGTAAAGCAAGTCACCTGTCCTCCAGGAAGGAAAGCTGGGCCAGGACAAGTGAGGCTGGGTGGGAGGTCCCTACCAGGTGGTTGTAGGCGCGAAAGGAAGCCCGGAGCTCTCCAGTGAATGCATCCCAGATGTGAATTGGGTTCTCCCGGCTGCTGCTGGCCACACTGAGAACAACAAGGACACTGAGGCCCTGCTGCTGTCAAAGGAAGGGTGGGAAGCCAACTGACCGGCCCTCTCAGCTCACACCTGGAGGGCACACCAAGCTTTCCTCCTCCCAGAATCCCTGGGCAGCCCTGGACTCTCTCAGTAGAGGATCCCCTTGAAACTGCCCGGGGGAGCAGCAGAGGCCAAGGTCATCACTTACTAGGAGGTGTCTGGCTGGCTTGAAGACATCAGAGAATACCAGCAGTAATCGTAGATGGTGTCGCCTTCCACCATCCGAAGGACAGGGACCTGGACAGATGGGATGCCTAGGTCACTGGAGGGAAGGGAGGCATCTTGGACCTCCAGCAGTTTTACGGCAGAGGGAGACCATGTGTCATCATTTAACCAGGCAGGAGAGGGCAGATGGGGTCAATATGAAGAACAGAATCTTTATGTCAACATTCAAAGGTCAGCTCATACTTTGTCAGATTTGGGCCACCAAAAGTCATACACATTTATCCTTTTGCTTTTTGAACACTTAGAGAAGAAAAAAATAAATAATATCCCAACAAAGAACCAACCAATGATATGCATATTTCTTTTATATTTTTTTATTGATTTCAGAGAGGAAGGAAGAGGGAGAGAGAGATAGAAACATCAATGATGAGAATCATTGATCGGCTGCCTCCTGCATGCCCCCTCCTGGGGATCGAGCCCACAACCGGGCATGTGGCCTTGGCCGGACTCGAACATGGGACCTTTCAGTTCACAGGCCGATGTTCTATCCACTGAGCCAAACCAGCTAGGGCAATGATATACATATTTACTAAGCATCTACTAAGTGCCACTTGAGCCCTTAAAAAATTAAACAGCCCTAGCCAGTTTTGTTCAGTTGGATAGAGCGTTGGCCAGAGGACTGAAGGGTCCCGGGTCTGATTCTGGTCAAGGGCATGTACCTTGGTTGTAGGCTTGATCCTGGCCCCAGGTCTGGACTCATGCAGCCGGGCCACTTTTGGGAGGCAACCAATCAATGTGTCTCTCTCACATCGATGTTTCTCTCTTTCTCTCTGTCTCTCCGCATCCCTTTCACTCTCTCTAAAAAAATCAATGGGCCCGGCTGATGTAGCTCAGCGGTTGGATGTTGACCCAAAAACCAAGAGGTCACCTGTTCAATTCCTGGTCAGGGCACATGTCTGGGTTGCTGGGTTGATTCCTAGTGGGGGGTGTATAGGAAACAGCCAACCAATGATGCTCCTCTCTCATTGATGTGTCTATCTCTCTATCCCTCTCCCTTTCTCTCTCTCTAAAAATCAATAAAAACATAGGTTGATGCTCAACCACTGAGCCACACCGGCTGGGCTAAAAACATGTTGTTGTTTTTTTAATCAACGGAAAATATCCTAAGGAGAGGGTTAACAAAAAATAAAAAATAAAATTAAAAAATTAAACAGTTCAAATATGCAAAGTATTAAACAACAACAACATCACCTGTGACTTTTTCACCCAGCTTAAGAAATAAAATATACAAAACTTCAGCCCAATGAAACCTTCCCTCAGAGGTAAACACTATCCTGAATTTACCATTCTCATGAATTTCTTTAGGAATATATTTATACAAAGAAAAAACAATGTAGCCCTAGCTGGTTTGGCTCAGCGGATAGAGTGTCGGCCTATGGACTGAAGGGTCCTGGGTTCAATTCCGGTCAAGGGCACATGCCCGGGTCGCAGGCTCAATTCTCAGTGGGAGGCATACAGGAGGCAGCCGATCAATGATTCTCTCTCATTACTGATGTTTCTAACTCTCTCTCCCTCTCCCTTCCTCTCTGAAATCAATAAAAAAATATTTTTTTAAAAAGAAAAAACAATGTATAGCATTATCCTGCATACCTTTAAACTTAATATTAATGATATCACACTGTTTGTGATTGTGAGATTTATCCATGGTGACATTTAGCGCTAATTCACGCATTTCACTGCTGTAGAGTACTTCATTCTTCTCTCCTTTTCTATCGACAATCACCGATGTCTTTCCATTTTTTAGCTAGAGTGTTTTTTAACATTCTGGCACTCATGTGAGAGGGTGGGTTTCTCTGTAGTTTCTGCTAACAAGGAAAATTATTGGGCTCAATGGCATGTACTTTGCCAACTCTGCTAGGTAATGTCACATTTTTTCCCCAAAGAGCTCATCCCAACTCACTCTTCCACCAACTGCATAGAGTGCCTGTTGCTCTGCATCCTGCTGATATTGCCAGAATTAAATTTTTCTCAGTTTGAAGGCTGTGAAATGGTATACATTTGCGTTTCCTTCATACTACTGAGGTTAGACATTTATCTATGTGGGGTTTTTTGAGGCATTTATCTGTTTATTAATAATTTAAGTATGCCTTTTCATAATTTTTGTTCATTTTTCTACTAGGCTTTTGTCGTTTTCTTACTGATTTGAAGGAAATCTTTAAATCATCTGGACCAGTCCTTTGTTAGTTATTTGCTTGACTTTGGGTGATGTCATCCAGCCATGACTTCAGTTTCCACCTCTCTATTCTGAACCCATATATCCAACTGCCTGGCAGAAAGCTCCACTTGGCTATCCCACAGGTACCTCAAACCTGCCACCTTCAAGCCTGCTGTTCCTCCTGGGCTCCACAGCCAATTTCCAAGCCTGAAATCAGCACCAGCCTGAATGACAACTCTTCCTCCTCCTCTTTTCTGCCTTTTCACTCTCGGTCCAGCCCGTATCATATTTTGCCAATTCCACCTCCTGGAGTTCTCTTGCATCTGTCCACTTCCCGTCATGCCACATGGAGCCACTGCCTTCTTGCTAGCATTTCTGCAAAACCCGACATGTTCTCCAGGCCTCCCTGCACCCTCACACTCCAATCTACCCATCCATTCTCATTTCCACACCACGGCCGCATCAAGGCCCTGCAGACCTTGTTAAGTTGGAATTCTGTGCAGCATCACCTTCTTAAAATGTTCCAGTGACTCTTCATAACCCTCAGTATAAAACCCCTCTTTACAAAGCTTCCCTATCCACCTCTCATGGCTCACCTCTCTGTGCTCACTCCTTAAAAATCTCTACATCCTACTGTTTTAGCTCTCAGTTCTCAGAAGGTACCAACTCACCATACTCAACCTGCAGGCTTTCACACATACTAGTGTCTAAGTCTGTAATAGTCTTCTTTCACCTCCCCCAACTTCTGGTTGAATCCTAGTCATCCTTCAGGTCTCTTAGATGCTTCTTCCCCTGGGAAGCCTTTCCTAAACCCTCAGGCTGAGCAAGGTGCCCTGCTCCGTGTTCCTATTGCCCTCTGTGCTCCTTACTCTGCCTTGTACCTATCTGAGAAGGCAGGAACCATGTCTGTCTTGCTCGCTACTGTTCTCCAACACCAAGTATTTTAAATGTTTTGTTTTTTAATCTTCACCTGAGTACATGCTTATTGATTTTAGAGAGGGGGGAAGGAGCGAAGAGAGAGAGAGAGAGAGAGAGAGAGAGGAGAGAGAAACATTGATAGGTTGCCTCCCATACATCCCCCGACCGGGAATCGAACCCGCAACCTAGATAAGTGCCCTGACTAGGAACTGAACCTGCAATCTTTTGGTGCATGGGACGATGCTCCCACCAACTGAGCTACACTGGCCAGGGTTAAATAATATTTTTTTGTGTGTTTTTAAAATATATTTTTATTGATTTCAGAGAGGAAGGGAGAGGCAGAGATAGAAATATCAACAATGTGAGAGAGAATCATTGATCAGCTGCCTCCTGCACGGCCCACACTGAGGATCAAGCCTGCAACCTGGCATGTGCCCTGACTGGGAATCAAACCATGACCTCCTGGTTCATAGGTCGACACTCAACCACTGAGCTCTGCAGGCCGGGCTAAATAATGTTTTATTTTTATTTTTTTAAAATATATTTTATTGATTTTTTACAGAGAGGAGGGGAGAGGGATAGAGAGTTAGAAACATTGATGAGAGAGAAACATTGATCAACTGCCTCCTGCACACTCCCTACTGGGGATGTGCCCGCAACCAAGGTATATGCCCTTGACCGGAATCGAACCTGGGACCCTTCAGTCCATAGGCCGACACTCTATCCACTGAGCCAAACCGGTTAGGGCCTAAATAATGTTTTAATGAGCAAATGAAGACAGGAGACTGTTCCAGTAACATAAGGCCCAAAATAATAGGACCTTGAATTAAAGTAGAGGCAGTGAAATAGAGAGAAGTAGATGGATCAGAAAGATTAGGTAGACTTGATGGGTTGTGGTAATTAATTGGATGTGGGGAGGGGGGGTTTGGGAAAACATTAAAGGATGAGATCCTGGCTTTTGGCTTGAATACCTGAGTTCATCACGATGGTGAAGGACTTGGGGTTCACAGGAGGGCTATGAGGTGCTACTGTCCTTGGTGAGGGTGAGTGGGAGAATCAGACAGCAGAAGCCTCAAAGGAAAAGTTTTTACCAAGAGAAAGGACAATTGTCTGGATATAGCATTTGGGAATGAGGGTTCCCCTCTCCCCCTAATGAAATATGTAGGGCACACAGGATGCACAGTCTTCTCTGGAGAAGGCAAGAGGGGAGTAAATGCCTCAGGCAAGAGCCATAGGGAGGAAAGTTCTCAGAAAAGAAGCTGGGGAGTTGGGAATAAGAGTTCTAGAAATGGGAGAGAAGGGAGGAGAGTTATTGGGAAACTATGTTGGGAAGAAGCAGTATAGGGATATACCCCAAAAATGCCCTCCAATTTCCCCACCTATAGAAACTTTATCCGTTTCCAAATACTAAACTTTAAAAAGGGAATATCTAATGAATGAGGTTGGGCTAGACATGGTACGCCCACAATGCTAACAGCATTTTAAAAAAACACAAAAACTTTTAAAATAAATGGACTATCTATATCACAAGACACACAAAACAACTATATATATATATATATATATATATTAAATACAGTTTTATTGATTTCAGAGAGGAAGGGACAGGGAGAATCATTGATTGGCTGCCTCCTGCACACCCCCCACTGGGGATCAAACCTGCAACCCGGGCATTTGCCCTTGACTGGAATTGAACTTAGGACTCTTCAGTCTGCAACCGACACTCTATCCACTGAGCCAAACCAGCTAGGGCCAAAACAAATATTGATACTGCTTGACCTATGGTATTTCTTACTCATAAAATTTCTCTTGCCCTAGCTGGTTTGGCTCAGTGGATAGAGTGTCGGGTGCAGACTGAAGGTCCCTGGGTTCGATTCCAGTCAAGGGCACATGCCCGGGTTGCAGGCTCAATCCCCAGTAGGGGGCGTGCAGGAGGCAG